GTTTGCAATAATTACAGAATTTTTTTATACAAATGTTAGTAATGTATCCATATTCTTTGCAACTATAGCACTGTATATTGCTCATGTTCCTACCTTTTCTTTTTATTTGAGCTGCAAAAGCAACTACAACTGAATTATTCTACTTGCAATTGCCTTGTGTAAGGAGATGTTATTCTTTGCGCGGTAATTTTTCAAAACAAACATCCAAAGAGAGCAAAAGATCTCGGTTCATTTAATTTGAGCAAGTAACCTCAAATTCATATCGCAATTTCATTAAAAATTGATCGCGCTTGCTTTGTTCATGAACCTATTGAACAACAGAGAGATTTGGTTGGTATTTTGGCATAAATAATATTAGTATATTGTACCCATAAATTCCATTGAAGCAACCTTGTAAAATCAGTGGGGGTTGGATCACTGCCATCCATATGACCCCACAATTCTTTTCCCGTGACAAATATTTGAAATTGAAATTCTCAAGCAGAATAATTCTTTCTAATTAATTGAACACTAAACAAATCAAAATTGTTTGATGTCATTGTCTTGACAAACTAGAACAAGAGGAATCAAAGAAAATCCAAAACCCAAAAGACAACCAAGAATCAAAGAAAATCCAAAAAAAGAAACCAAGAGCTAGGACTGACCAAAACTCAATTAAGAGAACCCAAGAAAAATTAAGGCAAGACAATGGAATGCAAATTCAAAAGTGCAGCTCTGATATCATGTCAATTTGGTTTAATGACCTCCCTTCGTAAGTCTTTTTCATTAAATAGTAAGAATTCTGATTTATATTCCGTAAAATTTGTTACTATTAACTATAATCTCGACCTAATTATAAAAAGCTAATTACATTATGATTACATAAATATTTACAGTTGTTTTCTTGACATAAATAACAAATATGTATATGGGAACCAATGATTCTATTAAGAAAGACCATACTAACAAAATCATTCTTTTTTATTTGGATATTTGGATATATTAGCAGGCCTAACATACATAGTTAGAAAGGTAAAAATGTATAGTTTTCAATCCAATTAGAATCTCATCCGAACTTCTCTTGTAGCTCCAAATAAGACCTGAAAAGTAGATAAAAGGTCTAGGGCAGCAAGTTTGAATTTTTTTAACCGAAGCCTCTTGACTTAACCTATTCAATTTTTCTTGAATCCATTTCATTTTAGGCTTAGAATAAACCTAATGGACACTTCTAATAAATTCTTTGATGTCGTAGCCAAGATCACATAAATCAGAGTGTTCTGTCTTCTCCCGAGCCCTCAGTGCCTCTATTTTCCAAAAGGGGCTAATCCTGTCTAACAGCCCGAAAAATTCACTAATTCTAACCACTCCATCCTGAGTAAAAACCTTATTAGTGCTATACTAAAGAATGGAATACGCAACTGGACACACCCAGTTGCATTCGTAATCCATTAGAGCATATAACATCAGCAGGCCGAAACCTAATATGGAATCCAGAAGTAATGCCAAACCCTCAGTGTTAACATGTTGAGTTAGCAACATCAAATATTTTAATTCCTAGTCAAAAGTATAAAGAACAGAAAATCAATCGGACATTCAGTCTCTAGAAAGGATATCTCAACCATCCATAATTTTTTCTAATAGATTAACCGAAAAGAGTCAAGCAAGTGCATCAGGCTATTGTCTATGTTTATAATAGCCAGGCTATTCAGAATTTACTTTCCTTTGTGTTACTTATGTTGGTCAACTTAGACTAAGTATATTATATTACAACAACAACAACAACAAATATTTTCCCCATCAAGTGGTGGTGTTTTTGGTGCTTGGTTCATCCCATGT